ACTTATGGCCTAACATGGCAGGCAATGGCCAGGCAAGAGGCCGGGGCAGATTAAAAGATCGCTGATAGGGAATACAGTTGGGCCTGTCCAAGACGACTACCCATTGTCGAGGAGAAAAGTGATCAGCTTAGATGATCCTTTTGGACTGCGTCGTTATTATATTTTTTAAAAGGCAAGGGGAGAAGTAGGAAGTGATCGTTTGTATAGTTTGTTCTTTTTAACAGGTACTTTTTGACATATCGACATGCCGAAGGGCTAGATCTCGAGTCTAGAAAACTAGAACTCAGATTGCTGCTGGACCTGAAAAGTAAAGTTTTAAAAGTCAACAGGTGGTCTTCAGCAACTTTAGCAATGGGGTCTCTGGTCTTTGGAGCAGGTTCGACGGTACTTGATGCCGTGGTATGCCAGTTCACGTCTTGAATTTGTACCCCATCTGCGCTGGAGAGCCAATTCTGGAGATTGATGGCGCCGTGACGGGGCGGAGAGTGTAAACACGTCTTCTGTGGTCTTTGTTGAAACTAAATACCTGTCATGTCTATTTCACACGAACTCTGACTTTCCTCCGAAACCTTCAACTTCTCTGTTCATCAAGATCCTTTCACTGTGTGAGCAAGATTCTACTTTTATGATTACTTTTTACTTCTGTCCCACTTCTGGGTTAAATAGTACGTCTGCGTGTACACTCGATCTCTGTTTCTCTATGTTACATGAATCGTGCTGTATGTCTGGACTCTATATGCCCACTTTGCTTCTCCCAGCAACCGACTTTCTGACTTCATTAATATTATGATATTGCATGTATTATATTCTTCACTTTTTTGTTGATGAGCTGGAAAAGACTGACGATTTCTAGAGTAAACTTATCCTTCGGCATAGTACTAATGGTTGTTCTTTTGTTTCGCTCAGAGTTCAAGTACTCTTTCTTCTGAAATGTATAGATTTCTCATCTGACCATTTATTATTTATGTAGACTTTTTTTTTCTTCCAACATAGTGTCTGCGGGACAGGTAGAAACAAGAGTAGACCGTAATGTTGTATCGTGTTGACTATTGTCTGGAGGTTGTACCGTCTCTCTAGTGTTCTATCTTTGTTTGAAAAGTCGAGGCCAAAAAAAGAGATTCCGGAGAAATGTTACTCGAATCTTCGTCTGGATGTGTAGATCTAGACGTAGATGTGCTGTCAGTCGATTGGGTCGAAAGTGGCTCCGCGTCATCATCTTCTCTCACAGAGGAAAAACCGGCGACACTGGTCTCAGTACTCTCAGTCTGTATACTGACGACTGACTGACACTGTCCATTTACATTCAGTGAGCAGGTGGATGAAGACTGCTGTTCATTTCCTTCATTAGGCGAACGAATGCGTTTCTTATTAATGCAACCTCTGCTCTGTTGAAGACAGCGCGCGCATACAGAGCATTCATTTACGCTTTTAGTTCCGTCATAAGCAGTCCATACACTTGCGCTGTCTTTGATATACTTTTGTGTAGCCTGCAAAGTAGCTTCTCGCATTAGTTTCCGCAATGTATGAATGCGCATGCCGCACTTCCCACACATAGTTTTGGAATGTTTGTCTGGTCTGTCTTTCTCAATATTCACCCCATAATAACGTTTTAGGTCCGATTTGAACTGTTGGCAACGGAACCGGTGCTGCTTTGAAACTTTAGCTTTTAAATTTCTCCGACCACAAGTACGACACATTTTGTTCAAGCTTTCTAAGTGTAGTTGAAAAGAGTGTTCCATTTTAAAGATGGCGTGGGCAGTCTAACTGATGGCAAAACCAGAAAGAAAGACACACAGCAGCAAATTAAATTATTACTGCTTCGCACAACAAAGCCTTTGAGTACCAAGAGCGCCGACCAAATTTGTTTTTATACTTTGGACACAGCAGAGTATGTTAGCTGAATTTAGTGTTGGTTTGCTTTATGTTTTGTTTAGTTTGG